TTCCAGGGAGCTGTGTCGCAAGAACGGCTCACGGACACTCCTGTTTCTGGCTCTTGTCAAACCAGCATTTCCTTGTAGAGCAGCAGGTCTGCACCAGGCAGCGCGCCGGTTCCCAGGGCCCGAGGGCAGCACCCAGGGAGACCCTCGGTTAGGAGTGAGGACGGGCTCAGGCACCCCTACCTTCCCGGGCCATGCTCAGCCTGCCCCTGACTCCAGGCCCGGCTCAGACGAAAGGGGCACCACTCCCCGCGCCAGCAGCCCAGAGGCTGGCTCTCGGGCTTCAGTGGGGAGTGGTGAGGGAGGGAGTGGTCGGACAGGTGGCAGAACAAACAGCTGCAGCGGCTCCTCCCTCAGGATCTGGGAGGGCAGGGAGGGCATCCTGTCCCGGATCTGAGATAAGGGCCCTCCCAGCTCCCTGCCTCTGCCCGGACAGGGGCAGCCCTCTCCTCCCAGCGCCCCCTGCAGCCACCGCCTTCCTTCCCGGCCAGCCACGGCCTCTGATGACGGGCAGGCAGTCCCCGCTCTGCCCAGGCGCACTTCCCGATGGGAAAGAAGAGCTGAACCCTTGACAGCCTGGAAGCTCGCGGCTGCCCCCACCCCTCCCCGGCACCCCAGCATGCACTGCTCCCTGAGTCGGGCCCCTTCGTGCCCGCCCCCACCCTAGAGGAGTGTACTGGGCTCCTATTCGCACTGTCACGTCACGCAGACTCGGCAGCGGAAACGGCAGCTACCTTGCAGCCCCGCAGGCCGGCAGCGGGATGTTGGTCTCTGGACTAACATCAAGGGCCGGACCCTCCCGAGGCTGGAGCAGAGAACCCGCTTCCTGGACGTTCGTTTCCAGCCCCCAGTGGCCGCCCGCACCCCTTGGCTTGTGGCCCCTTCCCCCGCCACAAAGCCAGCATCTCTGTGCCGTCCTCACTCCCTCGTGCCCTCTGCTTCCCTCTTCCCGGGAGGACCCTGTGGTCACCCTGGGCGCTCCTGGGCATCCAGCGACCCCAGTTTAAGGTCAGCTGACAGGCACCCTGACCGCCAGCTTTCCCGTGGCCGTTCCTCTGCGCGGGAGCCGGAGTGGTGAGTTCCATTCACCGACGGCACTTACTACAGATAAGCCAGTGGGAGTCAAAGGGAAGGCACGCGAGAGGGAAACGGAACATCTTCCCAGGTTCCTCTGGTATCAAGATTTCTTCCCAAGCAACGGTCTTGGTCTAAATCAGCGGTGGGGACCCTTTTCCCTGCCAAGGGCCATGTGGACACTAGTAACATCATTCACCGGCCACACAGACTCACCACCTAAACATCGGCCACTGTATCTGGTCACAGATCTCACTGCCTCACCTGACGCCTTGGCGGGGCCAGACCGAATGGTTCTTGGGCTGCACAAGGCCCCTGGGCGGGCGGTTCCCCACCTGCTCTACATCAACAGAGTCCTAATCACTAGAAGAGGCTTAAATCCCCTCGCTGCGGCATCACTAAGGCGTTCCAGGAACCGCTGCGGCACCTGCGTTGCTGTGGACATAAAAACAGGGCGTGGACTCGGTCTGGGGCACAGCTTCGGGGAAGAAAGGAGACGGCGCTCAGGGAAGGCAGCAAATGACCAGACGTACGCCTCGCCTCCCCGGGGCGGTCATCTGGCCACAGTGGCACCTGCCTACCTGGGGCGTGTGGTTCCCTCCCCCACCCTGTGTGGTCAGCTCACCTGGATGAGAAAGAGTAGGGAGACCGAGAACCCCCACTCCGTCCGACCACGGGGGTGGCCTCAGACAGGCCGGAACCCCCACGCTCCTCCCGGACACGCTCTGCTCTGGGCAGCCAGGAGGCAGAGGGCGGGCCTGCTAACGCCTCCCAGCCCTTTCCCGGGAGGTCAGGCCTGAACAGAGGCTCATTGAGGCCCAGGAGGGGCACCAGGAGGCCACCTTGTCCGCAGGCTCGGGCTGGACTTTCCGAGGGGAGGTCGATGGGGGGGCTGGGG